ACACACAAACACATATCACAGTCTGGTGATAGATTAAGAAGAATCAAGAAATGGAACTGTATCAGTTTAAAAGCTTCTGGACAGCAAAGGAAACAACAGGTGAAGAGACAACCTACAGACTGGGAGGAAATCTCTGCCAGCAACTCTGCCAACCAAGAATTAATATTCAAAACGTTCAACACCTAAAAGACAAATACCGATAAATGGGTAAAGGGATTAAACAGTTTTCAAGAGTAATACAAATGGCCAATGAGTACATTTTTTTTTAATGTTCAACATCTTTAGCCATTAGACAAGTGGAAATCAAAACTACATAGAGATTCCAGCTCACCCCAGACAGAATGGCTGTCATCAAGAATACAAAATACAGGGCCGGGGATTTAGCTCAGCGGCACCACACCTGCCTTGTAAGTGCAAGGTCTTGAGTTCAATCCCCGGTACCAAAAACAAAACAAAAAAATAAATGCTGGTGAGGATGCTGGGTAAAAGGAACCCTTATACATTGTTAGAGAGAATATAAATTAGTATAGCTACTATGGAAATCAAATACTAAAGTGGAACTGCCATTTGATCCAGCTACTCTCCTCTTACACATATCCTGAAAAAATTGAAGTATTACAAAGACACCAGTACATTACAAACCCATGCTTATCATGGCACAACTGACAATAACAAAGATACAGATCCAACCTAGGTGCCAGTCAGCGAATGAAGGGATAAAGCAAACCTGGTAAACATACACAGTGGGCTATCACTCATCTAGCGACCAAAATCACGTCCCTTGCAGGAACTAAAGATCATCATGTTAAACAAGCCAGACTCAGGAAAACAACTGCCTATGACATTTCCTTTAAATGTGGAAGCTTGAGGAAAGAAAAAGAGAGAGACGACACAAAAGTAGAAGGGAGTCTATTAGAGAAGAGGAAGAGAATAAGGAGAGGGAAGGGCTTGCCAGCTGAAAATGTAACAGGGGGGATAATGAAGGTAGGCATGATCAAAGTATGTCAGATGTACGGAGGAATCTTCCAAAATAACACCCACTAGTCTGTATAATAATTTGCACTAATTACGAATGAATGGAGGAATGAACGGGCTGGTCTGGGAAGGTGTCACTGTAAAGGCTGAGTGAAGATCTAAAGAACCTGAGAGAACAGAGCGAGGGAGGTAGTCGTCCAGGGTGGAAGCGTCTCAGGCCAGTGGAACAGCTGGTGCAAAGGACTCGGAGCGGGCCGTGGCCGGGGTGGGCGGGGCAGCTACGTCATCATGGCGACAAGAGGACAGCAGGAGATGAGACGGAAGTGGATGGTTGTACTTAGGGTCGAATCGGAAGGGAAGGGATCTGCTTTTTTGTTCTTACAAGATCATTCTACCTACTTTATTCTCACAAGTTTGAAGATAGAAATTCCCAGAAGCGGGAATGCCACCTTCCTCAGACCCTCACCACCAGCCCAACATCCTCTGGGGTTAACTGAAAGAGCTCTACGTGAACTAAAGAGAGAACAAGACTAGAATGGGGTCTCCGGATGCCCAGCCGGCTCTGTGTATACTGTCCTAGGAGATTTCAGGAAACACAATTTATTTCTTTAAAAATACTCTTTTTTTTTCTTATTTGTGTTGCTTGGTCACCCTATCAACTCCTGTATTTTATCAACAGTAACCATGAAATTGAGGTTGACTTACCTCTGTTTTAAAAAGAGAAATCTCGGCCGGGTGTGGTGGCACATGCCTGTAATCCCAGCACTCGGGAGGCTGAGGCAGGAGGATCGCTGTGAGTTCGAGAGCAGCCTGGGCTACACAGTGAGTTCTAGGTCAGTCTCAACTACATAGCGAGACCCTGTCTGAAAAAAGAGAGAAATTTCTGTTTAAAAGTAATTCGGGGGCACCAGCTGAGCCCATGAGTGTGCACACGCATGCTCAGACAAGCACATGCCTTTTCCATGTGACCCTGTCCGCCAGGTGTTTGTTATCTGTGCGTTCTTTGTACCATGGCCTGTGAGTGGGCACAGCTGTGTTCCGCATGTGTCTGTGTGCGCACTGGTGTGAAGTACCAAAAAGGCTCCCCGTCCCAGGCAGAGTAAAATCCGGAATTCACACACTGGATCAGAAGCACATACTCTGGCTACCTTCACACAGATGTTTCCTACCACCCCTCCCCATGCTCACCCCAGTCCTACCAGGCTGTCTTCCACCCTGTCCCTGCAATGTACTCAGCACAGTGCTGCCCCAGGGTCTGTGCCCTGGTTTTCCCTTCTACACGGACTGCTCTACCCCACAACACCTGCACAGCCCACTTCAGCCTTGCTCACCTCTGGCCACATCAGCCTGAAGGCCCCTTGATCACTCTCCATTCCCCAGCTATGTTCTCTACAACACTCATCACGACTGGGCACCCTGTTCCAGTACTGTACATTTATTATCTGCCTCCTGCCCAACAGAATGCAGGCTCCATGAAGGCAGGAAACACGTGTCTTTCCTACTTGAAAAGTGTACGGTAAGAACAAATGTGTCCCAGCGAAGCTTGGGGAGTGTGTACACAACTGTCCTGGCACCTGCATGGACACATGCGCTTTGAGATTCAGGCTAAGACCTCCAAGGAGTTTTAGGTGCCTACCACTTCCAGGCTTTACAGCATGACACTTGCATCGGATTTCATTTCCTGTTCAAGACTCCAGCTAAGACAAAGATTCTGGATTTGCTCTGGTGTTGGAGACTTACTGAATGAATGAATGAATAACTACCAACTATTAACAATAGCGAGTACTAGGAGTAAAGATGATAACAGCAGCAACAGTGATCGTAAATGGCCTGCACACCGGTGGTTAACAGCACAGGCTCTGGAACTTGACACTGCAGGTTGGAATCCAAGCCTTACCGAGGTAGGATAGAAGAAAAAAAAAAAGGAGACAAGGAAGTTGGAATTTGAAAACTGTACTTTTAAGAAAAACTGAGCCGAGTGTGGTGGTGCATGCCTGTAATCCCAGCACTTGGGAGGTTGAGGCAGGAGGATCACATTGAGATCGAGGCCAGCCTGAGCTACATAGCCGAGGTCATGGCCAACATGAACTACGAAGGGAGACCTTGCCTCAGAAAACCAAAAAAAAGAAAAAGAAAGAAAAGAAAAGCTGTAGCTTCGGGACACAAAAGTTATTGGAGCCCTTTTTCCTTCCAGAAAACTCAATGAAAAATAATTCCTAAAGGACTTTAAGACACAATAAAGCTATAAATTGGGCTCTTTTTCACCTGTAAATTGTGCTTCCTTCGTCCTTGAGGAAGCAGCAATACTAGCAGGCAGTATGTCTCACTTCAAACGCTTGTGAATGGCTTGTACTCTGACACATCTGCCCAAGAGACCCCAAGCTCTGGCTCAGACCGGACCTCTCTCTCGAGGGCCCGCACTCTATTTCTTTGAGTGTAGCCCTTTTAATTTCTGCCTGGTAAAAACTTACCCACGCCTCTCACTGCCTAGTCCTAAAAACTCTTTTCACTGAGAGCGTGCGAACCTCCAGTCTACGTTTAGTGTGGGTTGAGTGCTCCATCTCAGCTTTGGGAACCTCTCAGAACCAGTCCAGTCAGGGAAAATAACTCCCAATCTGTTAGATGCAAAGTTCGTGGCCTCACAACATCAAGGAACCAAAGGAGGAAGTTAGGATGAGTTTTACTGGAAGTAAGAATAGCTCCTGGATTTTCAGGAGGGGGTCCCAAATGGATGGCCACTAAGACTCTTCGTCAAGAGTATTTTATACAGCAAAATCACAATGTGGGTACAACATGGGTCCCACTTCAATCAGCCTACAGGATTACATAGTGGCTTAGCTAGTATTTATCCAATAGGGAACCAAGCCACACAGCAAGGGTACATGGAAAGAACAAAGGCACTCCCAGAAAAGGACTGGAGTACCAATCCAGATGTGCTGGTCACCCGCCTATGCATCTGATACCTCACTGGGCTCACTGGACCAGGCGGTGCTAATTGCAGTGCAACCTCGTGCTCCCCTCTAGGGAGGCTTGCAGGCTTGGGTACTGCATCTCCTTCTTGACGCCTGGCTCTCTTCAGATTCACCTCCAGCCACAATCTTGGTGTGTCTCGTCTTCCACACTGACTCCAGTCCCTCTCTGGCTGCCTTTGAATCTCTAACTTAGATGTCTATGATATGGTGACATTATCACCTACTAGCAGGGTAACTTTGTGTTACCAGGAGCCTGGCCAGAGGCCTGAATTTAGCTCATTCACCATCTGCCATTACGCATATGAGGAAATACCTGCACGTGGTGGTGCAGGCCTGTAATCTCAGCTATTTGGGAGGCTGAGACAAGAGGACCGCTCTCGCCAGGACATCCTGGGCTACAGAGTGAGTTCAGGTCTGAAAGAAAGAAAAGACAGAAAGAAAGAAATGGTAGAGAAAAGCCTATAAAAACGGGGGAGTGGGGGAAGAGTCTATATTTGGGCAGCCAGCCACCCTCCTCTACTGCACAGCAGCATTTTTAATTAGAAGAGGGAGTAAAACAAAACGCTGTAAGTCTGGTTCTGTTCGAACTTCCTAGGCGCCAAGGCTGGTGGTGAAGTTTCACTCTCAACACCACGAGGGAGCTAGAGAAATAACTAAAAACCCTAATTGTCAAAGCTATCTTTAAACTTCCAGGTTTCACCTGGGTGACTTATTTAACTGCTTTAGATGACGAGTTCGGACACCCACCTGCAGAGGGGTCCTGGCCTAGGCTGGTCACCGCTGTATACTGAGGCAGGTGACGGGGACCACAACTCCACAACCTCTAGTCCGGCAGCCAAACCTTTCCGGCGCCCCGGCGGGGAACTAAGGCCCCAAACGCATGCGCAACCGAGACAAGTGGGCGTGGCCACTGGGCGCCGAGAAGGGTGGTGCCGCGCCTGCGCAGACCTGCCGACATGGCGGCACCCTGAGTCCGCGGCGAGCTTTTGGGGTAGTCTAGGCTGGGGGTCGCGACGGGTCGGCCCCTGGGAGAAACGGCGGGACTGGGTAAAGTATGAGGAGCCTTCTAGCACCGAACCTGGTTTTGAGATCTGGGCTGCAGAAACCTGAAGCCTAAATCCCAATCCCATCTGAGCCTCAATTTCTCCTTCTGCACGACAGTTTCGGGAAAGGAAACCATGATTCAGGCATCCCGCCCTTCCGGCGTCGGATTAAGTCTTGACTCCCTTTTGACAGAGTAGTGGGTATCCCACAAGGGAGAGGTTCAGGGAGGCGGCGAGGCAGAAGGAGCTACTGTGGGGAAGAAGTCCCTAAAACCTTACTCTGCGTGCCTTGGCCAGGCCAGCCTTTTCCCTGCATCCCTGGGTTCGCCCATCTCCCAGAATCCGGACACGAAGCATCATGGAATCGCGCGGTTCCTCATTGCTCAGTGAGTGGGTAGCACATGGCAGAAAGACAGGAAAGAGGGGAGCTGTTTCAACTCCCTAGTCCCAGCAAACTGCGTTTTGGGACAGCGGAGACCCGCAGAAGAGGGAATCCAACCCCCACAGTCTTAGAAGAGCCGAGAATATCTGTCAGCTCAACTTTAGGAGTGAGCCTGCAGCTGAGGGAGGGAGCGCTGTTTCCTGTCTTAAATATGGGTCTGCTTTTTTTAGCTCTGCTCGGCAAAGAAAGGAGCCCCAGAGCCCAGTCCAGCCCCAGCATTCCCAGACGGAAACTTTTGAGTCATTGTCCCAAAGTAGAGGAACTGACCGCTGCCTTGTCCCATCTTTCCGGCACACTCCTTAACAATTATGTTGCTGTAATGATACTGCTTTCTGTTGTTATTTATTCAATGTTTATTATGTCTTGAGCCCTGAAAGTGATTACTGTCTCGTTTCTTGCTCACACAGGCCCTGAGATAGTGTCAGAAAAGCCTCTTTACTCCGAGGTAGCTGATTCTGGAGAGAGCCCCTTAAAGAGGATCCACTTCACCCGAATTCATTTCCTGGAAGGCCTGGGTATTTGGAATTTTCAATATGAAAATTAAAGTAGCAATTAAGAACATGAGCTTCCTTCCTATTTATACACTATTTAAGTCAGTTTGGTGTGTGATATGTTAATCTTTGGAATGCAGAGGACATTCATTTTCTGGAATCTAATTTTTCCAGCAAAATTATACTATAGCAACAAATGGTGTTCTTAGGTTTGTGTTTGACTTGTACAGTGGCAGAGAGGAAATTTTCTTTCCCAAAAAAAACTAGAGGCAGCAATTCTCTGTTTTTCCCCAGGCTCTCAATCTCTCAGTCCTAGGAGAGCTCTAATCCCAGCACTCCTGGATTCTGAGGAAAGAGAATCAAAAGTTTAACCCAGCATGGGTATTTTAGTGACTTAGTGAGACCCTGTCTCAAAGTTTTAAAATTTTTGCAAGAGAGGGATGTATAGATTCAGTCCCCAGTACTAAATAAATAAAAAGGGAAGGAGGAAGGTTGTCTGGTTCGTGTGGTGGAATAGTGGATTTCCTCCTCCTGGATCCAATCTGATTTTGCCAGTCTTCTTTGGCTAAAAGTTGAGCATTTCTCTGCATCAGTTTCATTCACAGTGAAATCCTCATTGATTGCTAGATTCACTATCATGGAGACCAGTTTCATAAGGGGGTCTTCTTTTCCCAAAATTCTTTGTTGGGACACATTTTGGTCTTTCATGGCAAGCAGGTAAATGTAGGAAATCCAGTTGTGTATTCTCGAATCATGAGGACATCTGAGTTATGGTGATCCCATTTTCCAGTTAGTAAGTGGAGGCCCTGAGAGGTTTCATGACATAGTTACTTCCCTGAAGAAACAGGACCAGAGAGGTGAAGTGATTTTGCCAAGGTCACATAGCTAACAGGTAGAGGACTAGGATTTATATCTCACCTGCCCAGCTTCACAGTCCACCCAGCTGCTGCTGTGTGGTGCCTTTTGATGAAGTGGAACATTTTGTTGGTGGGAAATCCTTCCTGTTTTTGACCAGTTTACCTCAGGCATGGTTTTCCAAATTCTAGTTATTGTCAGGTCACCTTCATAATTTTTCCACGCATGTCTATAAATCACCTGCCCCGTGAGTCCCTTAATTGCTTTTCCTTTAAATCCACTCACTTTTTTAATAAGAAAACTTAAAACAAACGATAATGTGGAAGGTGATGTCCACTTCTAGAATAAAAAAAAGTCTAAGGGTCCATAACAGCTAAATGCAAAGCATAAATCATGGTTGGATTCTGGTCTGAGAAAAATAGCAGTGAAAGACATTTGGGAGACATGGAGGAAATTTAGTATGACCTGAATTTTTGGTGATATTTGGGAATCCTTCTCTTTGTTGTGCTAATGGTCTTATTTATACAGGAAAATGTTCTCCAGAAGGAGACACAGAAGAATCTAGAGGTCGTGTTGCGATGTCTGTAGTGGTCTCTTGGGGAGTTCAAAGAGGAAAACCCCAGACAGATACACAGACATGATAGCCAGGGCGAAAGTGTAGCAATGTGGTGATCACTGAATCTAATTGGTGGATATACTACTCTTTTTATTATGCTTTTTGCCTTTCTTACCTCTTAGAACATTTTCATAATGAAATTGGAGGAGGAAAAAAGAGAAAAGAAACTTTATCACGATTTATAAATCACTACAAAACTCAGATCGGTGGCTATAAATAGAAGGTTATTATGAAAATGAACACTGCAAACAAAGTATCAGTTAAATTCTGGCTGCATTCTTTTCCCTTGCCAAAGCCGGGAGACTTTCTCCTTAGTAAATACTAGGAGGGGCTGGGGCAGGGAAACACTTTCTCCTTGGTGGTGGTGATGGTCGGCTTCCTGGTGGGCACTGTTCCCTCGTAGACCTGCCACCCTGAGGGCCTGTCCTCCCCTCTCAGGTGCCCCTGGCCCAGGAGTGATGTGGGACCCGGCCATGGATGAGGTCACCTTCAGGAGCGACACTGTATTGTCTGATGTCCACCTCTACACCCCAAACCAGAAACACCTCATGGTGCGGCTGAACGGCGTGGGGCAGCCCGGTAAGGTCCTGTCATGGGTGCTGTAGCCAAGCATCCCAGAGAGCCCATTTTATTCTCTGCAGTCTCATACATATCCTCTTGGGTAAAACATTGGGAAGACTAGATTGTTTATCTATTATCCTCACAGCACTCAAATGCCCTTCCTTCACGGAGCACAATCTTGTGTTTCCTGAGCACCTACTATGTGCCTAGGGCCTGAAGCTAGGAATGCAGGAATGAATGAACCCAGCTCTGCCCTCAGTGAACTCACAGTCCTGTGGAGAAAGTGAGCTCCACCTCTTGTCAAATCCGAGTGTCTGAGGGCCACGGTGTGTACCTATAACCCCAGCTACTTCGGAAGCTGCGGCAGAAGGATTACAAGTTTGAGGCCAACCTGGGAAACTTAGACCCTCTGTTAAACAAAAAGTCAGGGTAAAGGGAGCAGAAGGAAGAGAGGGTTGAAAACACGGGTATGGAGCGCCTACTCTGAGCCATGTGCTTTCTACTTATCAACCGTTGTAGCCTTAGATAACAGGGGTGCACACGTTATTCCTGTGATGCAAATGAGGAGGCTGAGGCTCAGAGCAGAGAAATGACTTGCCCAAGGTCAGGCATACACGGTAGATCTCAAGTGCAGGGCTGCCGGCTCTGAGGTCCTTTTGGAACTGGGGGTTGAACCCAAGACCTTCATACTGAGCTCACCCCCCAGCTCCTTTTCTCCTTTTTATTTTGAAATAGGATCTCACTAAGTTGCCTAGGCTGGGCTCAAACCTGGGATCCTCCTGCCTCGGCCTCCCAGAGTGCGGGGGTTACAGACATGCACCACCATGCCTGGCACATGTTTTCTCACTGAAACCCATCCCAGCGACTTTCTGGCCACGAGATGGTGAAGGCCTCTATATTCCTTGTCCGTCCTCCAGACCTTAAGAGGCAAGAGTGTAGTGCGGATGACGTCGGCCAGAGCTGAGCAGTCTGTGTTTGATTTCCTGCCTCAGCTGTAGGCGTGGCCTTCCCCCGCCTCTCGGCCTCCGTTTCTGTGTACTGTGAGGCTGAAACAAGCTGAGTGGGCCACGTGCCTGGAAGTGTGGACGGGGAGATGGATGGGCGCCTGCGTGTTAGTGCCTGTGTCACAGATGCTCACGAGGCTGTGCTCACCCCTGGTTCTGACTGCTCCGGGGGCCCCGGCAGCCCAAGCTAGGGGTCCCTGCAAAATTAAACGGGCCTTTTCTGCTGATGTTAGGGTATCTTGGCCTTTACCGTTCTCTGCAGGTGGTGATCAGATTTTTCAAAGAAGGAGAGGAAATAAAGAAAAGACACTTTGGAGTCATTCTGTGTCTTGTCTTACCTTTCAGTTTTCCTGTCCCAGTTCAAGCTTCTATGGAGCCAGGACTCTCGGATGGACTCGGGGGCTGAGGGTGGCAGTCACAGACATGTGCACACGCAGGAGACCCCTCCTGCTGGGTCAGGTGGCCCAGGGTCTCCTCCCGGAAGTGGTTACAGTCGTGAGGGTTTCTCCCTCCAGGCCAGGGCTGACAACACTGGCCAGGAAGGGGCAGGCGCTCAGCTGGACGAGGATGGGGATTTGGACGTGGCGCGAAGACCGCGGGCCGCCTCTGATACTGACCCCGCAGAGCCGCCAAGAGACAAGGTACATCCCACGATTCTAACACAGGAAGAAGAGGACACCCTAGAAGACAGAGTACCAGAGAGCTGCCCCCAGAGTATCATCAACATAGGTAAAGGAAGGTCTGGCTCTCCTCCCCTCAAGGTGGCCCGTGTAGCAGTCAGCATGAGGATGTCCTGCATGTCAGCTCGGTGGTCAGGTCCAGGCCAGGACATCCTAAGCATGAGTAGCACAGCCAGCTCTGGTGAAGGTAGAGCAAGTGGTGTTGCTGCCTGCACAGAGCACTTTCCAAAACATATGGGTCACTCTCGCTCAAGACTCTTCTGTGGCTCCCCATTGCCCTCAGGACAGACTCCAAATGACTCCACTTATGAGGCTGTGCTTCCCTCTCCAGCTTCAGGCCTCACATTCTTTCTGCCCTGTGCCTCTGCTGTGCTTGCCTCTTTTCCTAGGATGCCTGCCTGCCACAAGCCTTTGATTTCTTACTACATTTCCTACTGTTGCGCAGGTCCCAGCTTAACTGTTACCTTGTGTATCCTTTCTGTGCTCTAACTCAGGGTGCTGGGAATGTGGATCAGGTTAGGGTGTGTGGAAGAGTTGGCCAGGCTGGGTGGGCAGCAGGAAACCTCGAGCGGTTCCAGAGATCAAGTGTGGAAGACGGTGTTCCACAGGATCCAGGAAGGAGGTGGGGAGGAGATCAGACTGGGCCAAGGACACTGCTCCCCAGATGCAGGGGCAGAATAGAGTGGTCTGGCCCCTGCAGAGTTTCAAATCTAGGGACCTGGCACACTGGAAACTCCAGAGATGGTGAGGATGGGAAGACCAGCATTGGTTAAGCGCCTGTCGCATGATTCACCAACATGGTCTCCCTTAGACTCTGCAGACGTCCAGAGGGCACACAGGCGAGGAGCTTGGAACCCACGTGGTCCATCTTGCCTCCCGGCCCTCTGGGCGAGCTCACATCTGAATGTGTTCATTGAGATCAGGGTCACTGGTGAGGCATAGGGGCTGGTGGAAAGGCCCAGCCCCAGCCAGGTGGGAGATGTGGGTCATTGGTCACGTTCCCCGATGGATAGACAGACCAGCCGCTCTGACGTCTGTCCGCCCATCAGTTACTGAGCTCCACTCACTGCCGGGCAGCCTGTGTGCTAGAGCATTCGGTGGGGGAGACAGAGGCTGGAACGCTGCTCCGTGTTTTCCATGAGTTCTTCCTGGTCTTCACGGACTCTGTAGGAAGGATGCGTATTCCCTCCTCACAGAGGAGAGGAGTGAGGCTCTGAGAGGTTGAGAAACTTGCCCAAGGTCACCCAGTAGTCAGCTACAGTTCTGCATCCTGCAGGCTCAGCAGAGACCCTTGAGAAGGGGCCAGTGTGCGGCAGCCACCCCACCTGCCCCTTGCTGCGCTGGTGCAAGTTCACCTTTCTCAGCTCACCGTTGGGCCTGCCGCCTGTGGGGAGAGTGTTAAGTAGCTAAGTTCTTGCGCTTGAGTGATGAGCTCTAATGATTTTATCCTGCCCCTTCACCACAAAACTTGATGCTGAGCTCCCGGCTTGGGGACCCAGTAGGGCTGTCTTTTAGCCTCATCTGCACCCCCCACCAGCCAAGCAATCTTGGACGCGATGCCGCCCACCCAGGGGCTCAGATTTTGCTCCTGCAGAATGGTAGCAGATATACAGCTCTCCCGGGATTTGATGACAGTTTAATAAATAGTGCCCAGTAAGTCCCCTTTTTTTTTTTTCACTCCTAAATGATTGGATTTTAAAATCTTCTTTTCCCTCACACTGGCTTCAGAAAAGTATCTTGACGCATTTTGATTTAGCTCAGTTTTACCCACCCCGGCCATGACCTTGAGCTACTCATTTCCCCTCTCTGGGCTCCAGGGGGCCACCAGTTACACAAGAGTTTAGGACCTGATCAGCGCTTTCCCAGTGCCTGCTGAGTCCTGGCCCCCTGTACAGTGTGACCTGGCCAAGCCCTGTCACGACCTGAGGATGAGGAGAAGGCATCTTCTCTGCATTTGGTGCAAGAGGAAATTGCAGCTCAGGCTCCAGGATGTTCAGTGGCTGATGTCGGCCACCTGGCTGTCCCTCGGGGCCTGACCTCGGAGTCCATGTGCTCTCCCAAGGGGAGCTGGCCACCCCTAGTGCACGCTCTCTCTGGAGCACCACGGTTGAGCTCAGGTCTCCCCATCTGCATCTGTAAGTGGGGATGGCCCAGATCAAGGAGGAAGGACCTCGGGTGTGAGCCGCAGGCCAGCTCACAGGAGCCTGGTCTGTCTTGTTCAGCAAAGGGATGCAGCGGTTGGTGGTTGTGGATATATTTCTGCGCCAGTTTTGCAGCAGCTGGCTACACACTAGGCCACCACACTGTCCTCGCATCCTTCTGAAGGCAGTGTTGTTTACCCAGCGTGACCTCCAAACCATGTTATCAAGCCCAACAGATGCTGGTGGACAGGGAAGGGCACTTTTTACTAGGGCCACACATTCCAAGTCTGCATGTAAGGCTTGGTCACACTTGCCCTAACAAAGCCCTCAGTGATGGCCTGGGTTCCCCAAAGAGCCCCATACAGCCCAGCTTGGGGACGGGGTGGTTGGCTTGTGTCCTGGACTGCTGTTGGAAGTAGCACACAGTTTTAAGCACCTGGCGCATCAGCACAGTGAGGTGCTCAGAGCTTGTGGGAGCCCGAAAGGACTGGGGCGGGCAGGCGTCCTGGGGGAAGGTCAGTGTCACCCCTGCCCCCTGCCCTCCTTCCGGCCCTTCCTTGTTTCCCTGTTTTGTAACCCTGTGGTTTGGTTTGTGCAAGTGTGATAGCTGTGGAAAGTAACCTGCTGTGCTGTGTTTTAGCCTGATGGCCATTAACGATACCACTTCAGGTACTTGAACGGGTTTCGATTTTTACAGAAGAAATGTCCTGCATCGTCCCTTTTTCTCCTGGATCTTGTCTTTCTGTCCCCTTCCACCACCAGAATTTTATCCTAATGTATTTGCACTTGGGAATACTCACACTTACTCATCAACTTTTTTTTTTTTTTTTTTTTTTTTTTTTTTTTTTTTTT